AATTTTTATAAGTTTTTAGTAAACCAGTTGTACATCTTTGCTTCCGCCGTTTTTTTTTCCAAAATTAAACGCTTTATTTCGAAAAAGTGCTTACAGATATATTATTCAAAGTATTGTCCTTCGCTAGCAACAACTATCTCCCATCTTTCCGGCCATTTTTGGATCCCGGCTCGAAAAAAACAGTCCTCTTTTGACGCTAGCTATGAAGCAATCCATTTTTCCAATTCTTCGAAGGATTGTAAATGTTGATCTGCCAGGCCGTGTGCCATCGAACGGAATAGGTGGAAGCCACAAGGGGCGACATCTGGGGAATACGGCGGGTGGGGCAAGACTTCCCATTGCAGCGTTTCCAGGTACTTTTTGACCACTTTTGCGGCGTGAGGCCGAGCATTCTCATGTTGGAGGATGACTTTGTCATATCGCTCTTGATATTGTGGCCGCTTTACTTTTAGCGCGCGACTAAGGCGCATCAGTTGCGTTCGGTCCACACTCACTTTAAAGATATCATCTATGTATTTCAACCAGCCTCAGCCGGTACAGCCACCTATCTGAAAATGGCGGAAGCAAAGTTGTACAACTGATAATTTCTTTTTGAGCAAATGCTATTTGATAACTTTAAAAAGTTGGCTTATTTATCGGAGAATTCTTTGTTTCTATTTTCTGTGGACGTATAGGGGTCTCATGGCAGAAATGTGTTTGGTAATCAACAATTTCTTAAAGTAGAAAATTTATCTGTAGGTTATTCCAATTTGACACTGCACAGTGCGCTCCACCACTACCACAATGTGTTAGTTAAAATGTGCCGACAATGAAATAAATGCCACTGACAATGACTAGTGCATGCTACTTGGTTTCTGTTGCCTTGTGTGTGTGTGTGTGTGTGTGTATAGCTTACTCCGTGCATTTGTCTGCGTCTGCCAGCAAATTTTCCTTGTGTAATCATACATGGGTAACAGTAGTTTGCCTTGAGTCTTAATGGTGTTGTCTTTATTCACCCACACATATATACCTATATATAACATATTTGTGTGCGTGTACATGTGTGGGTGTCTGTGTCTTATGTCATCAGCAACAAATTTGTACACAAGCACCGCACACCACGCATACAAAGAATGGTGCAACATGTGTTGCGTGCAACACAAAATAAATATTTTCATTCATTTTTACACTCTCTTGCCTCTCCCGCTTTTCCCGTAGCCATCATGTGTGTGTGTGTTTGTGTGTTTTGCTTATTTTTCATTTTCTTACACACTTTCTTTCAGCAACACATTTTGTTTAATTTATTTATTTTACACTCATTTTTTTTTCTTTCTCTTTCAGTTGTTTTGTGTTGGTGCCCTCAACAGCATGAAACTACTGTTAAATATTATTCTTTACCCCGCAACGGCACTTAGCATCCAGATATTTTAACAACAACAACACGGTACTTTATTCGGTACACGAAGCTGACAAAACCCCGGGAACCTCGCTACCCACCGCTACTGTAACCACCTCAATCAACAGCATCTTCTTCATTAACTATACCTTTTGCCAAGAAAAAAACTTTCCCTGTTTCCCTGCAGCCTTGTTGTGTTTAAGCTTAAGCTCCGCCACTACTGTGCTCTCCCACTCCCCTTTTCGTCCTTTTATTCGTCATTTGCTTGAAATTTTTGGCTTGGGATTTGCTATTTGGTACTTATACACCTACACATACACAAGTACGTTGGTTAATCATTTTGTTTCGCTGTCTGTGTGCACGTATACATATATATATATATACATAATTATATATATATATATGTGTGTGTGTCTATGTGTGCGTATGTGTGTCCTTGTACGCTTAAATGTGTACTCTGTTTGGTAAGCGTGCTACGTTTGGCAAAGTAATGAAAATCCCTGTCATGCTTAGTGTATTGCAAGCAGCAAGTTTTCAGCTGACGGCTGCTGCACCCACATGCACCGACATAATTATTTGCACACACTCACACACACACACACAGACACACACACATAAGCAAGCATATATAAGCAATATACAAAGTTGCATTTTCCCTTTCACTTGCCAAAAATTATTTTACGTGACTTTATTCCAAACGGTCACGTACGTGCGTATGCAGCAGTTTGTTGAACGTAGTTAAACTGCTAAGCAACAACAACAACAATATTAACACTAATTTACTGCATCATACTGCAAAGTAATGTACATACATTCTTGTACACAAGAGAGTGCCGAAAACCTTAAGCTTTGTAGTGGTTGGAAACAATTATTGAAAGGAATTTAAGAATAATGCAAATACCCTGCAGGACATTCAAACTCATTTCTGGCAGTGATTTCGCCAAAAAAAAACAATTATATTTTTACTTAATTAAAAGGCATCCGCAGCTTAATTCCATGTACATTTAATATTTAGGAAACACATTTTGACCATTATTATCCATAAACTATTGCCTTTTTTATTGGATGGCTCATTCTTCCATCAGTGTAGAAATTTTGTTGTTTGCTGGCGCAAAACCTGGTCAACTGCTCTTGCATGGCAAAAACGGGGCAAAATGATTTGAATTCTCTCTTCCTGAGTAATTTTGCCTAAAATGTTGGATCACAAAAATCGGATGTGTAATGACGGAAATAAATTAAGACAAAGTCAATTTTGAAAAGAATTTTTTTAGAAAACTTTTAAGCACTCTGGCTTTATAGTCAAATAAGTTTGTATTCACTCCAATAACAAATACTAAAATATGGCTTCATCTATGTACGTTATTTCATAATAATTCGATAAGTTATTTTAAAATGAGTCTATACCAAGTCATGCTCCATATGGGAGATGCTGCAGTAAGGGAAATAATCGCGCTCTCTCTCTCTCTGTCTCTATACAGAATAGTCGTAGGTTTCGAATTTTTGGGATAATTTTCCCGTAGCAAGTATTTCCAATAGGTGACGTTATGGATCAGCAAAGGTTCACCAGTGAATCGAAGTGGTGAAATGGTCGGAATTTTGTGGAATCTTCTTCTCCATCACCGCTTACTTGATTACAGCCCAATCAATATTAACGCGCCATTCCTCTCTTCTTTTCGCTGTCTGGCGTCAATTGGAAAAACCAAGTGAAGCCCAGTCACTCTCCAACTGATCCTTCTTCTTCCTCTACTTCAGCCAGCGGATACTGCATCGAATATTTTCAAAGCTGGAGTGTTTTTATCCATTCGAATAACACGACCCAACCAGCGTAGCCGCTGCTTCTTGATTCACTGAACTATATCAATGTTGCTGTATAACTGGTACAGCTCATCGTCCCACCGTCTGCGGTATTCGCCGTTGCCAAAGCACAAAGGACCATTAATTGTTCGCCAAACTTTTCTCTCGAAGACTCCCAAAGCCACACAACGTGTGTTATTGGGAAATAGGCGATTGTCATATTCTTCAAGCTACTGCTCAGCCATAAACTGAACTCAAATAAATGAAGAATCGTAAATTTAACAAATGGCTGCTTCAGCATAAAGTTCTACTCAGAGCTTGTATGGGTAATATGATAAGAGCTCTCACTAGTTGCTATACTGGTGATGAGGTAGCTGAAGGGTTAAACTTCGTCTAGAAGGCGGTTTCATTGCTTGCACGATTTTAATATCAATTCAACGACGTTCACTTTTTCAACGACTTTGAAGTTTCTTAACAAAAAATACAAGCTGGATATGCGTTTGACTTTTTAGTAGTACGATGCTCTTGGACTTGCCACTAACTGTCGCTGTTGGGATTATGAGCCACAATCAGCCATCTTATCCATATCCATATTCACGCTGCTAGAGAATTTCTACTCCAGCTGCCCTGCCGATTATAACATTGGCTTAGAGCTTTTGTTTACACAGAAGAACACTGGTATTTCTTTTGCTAACAGCAGGAGTAGTAGTACTCAGGCTGCCTGATACTATTCGAAGGTCAGTTAATAAAATCTTTTGAAATTTTTTAAAACTTTCACATCAGATCGTGCTGCTTCGTGGTATGAACCTTTAAATCAGCAAGGTAGCAATAATCACAACGAACAAGCGACTTTGCTTAACAGCAAGTACTTTATTTTTTAAATAACAAAGAATGGAGTGCGGATTTAAATGAAAGCGGAACCAAGCCTCACATTGCTGAAAGACAATCCTCTATCGAAAAATACCGAAGATCCAACATACTAATATTAAAAATAATAACTAACATACCACTCAAGACACAGCTGCAGCATACGGTAAGAATTAACAACAACCAAGATTTAGATAAATGAAAAAAACAACAACAAAAACAACATACTATAAGTGTGTCAAAATTGAATCAAACCGAATTTTCTTTGGCGATATTCCATTTAGTCGGCGATATGTTGAGAACATCAAATTTATATAGAAAATCCAACATAAAAAATGTCAGGTTATCGCAACCTAATGAGTGTATTTAAAAAACCTGATGAGATGATAACAGTGTTTGCTGTGAGCCAGAGGTTGTAAGTTCACATTCTGATTTCAGATCTCTAAAAGTTGTACGGAAGGCGGGCAAAAAATTTCGGTCAGAATGTGGGACCAAATAATCGTTTTCAAATAAAAAGTTATTTATTTTAGATTAGAATGAAATCAACTCTAATTATAAAGAAGTTGTTTATAGTTTATATTAGATAAACAAAATTTTAACATAAATTCGCTAGTACAACTTCGACTCTTCAGCTGGATAGATCGTGGAACATCAGACATTAAAGAAGTCTCGCCTTTTTTCACTCACATTGTTTCAGTATCTATTTAACTCTAATATACGGTAGAAGCCTGTGAGCTGATGGCTTAAACACATTGTGTAATTATAATGGGGATATACAAATAGCTGCAGTGAGAAACGTCATCGACAAATTTGCTGATTCGTGCGAACGAGAAAGTGAAATTTTGGTTAAAAATTCGCACTTAAACTCAAAATTATCCGAAATAAGGTGAAAATTTATTTGAATTCATTGATTTTTTTATTAAGTGAATATAAAATAAAAATAAATTCCAGCAACAGTAACTCAATGCCAACAAGTTGCGTGGAAGCCGCGGCAGGCACTTTCAAGAGTGGCGTATATAAAATTCATTTAAAACGACTTAGTACCTCACCTCTTGAGGTGTTTTGCAGTGAAGAAACGGACTTTGGCGGCTGGCTGGTCATTCAACGGCGTATAAGTGATTCGGTCGATTTGATAACAGAGGTTGGTATATAAGGACGGTTTTGGTGACATAGAGGGAAACTATTGGATTGGTTTGGAGAAACTACATGCGCTCACGAGCAGCTATGAACATGGGCTACATATTGAAACGGAAAGATTTGACGGTGAAAATCTATACGTGAAATATACTGAGTTTGTTATCGGTAGCGAATCGGAGCGTTTTGCGTTGAAAAAGATGGGTAACTACACTGGGAATGCAGGTGATAACTTAACAAACCATATTGTTATGAATTATGATGATTCGTCCAACGAAAAAGTGCCTCAGACGTGCATCTTTACAAAATTTTTATTTTGATCGTTGAATAATTAGAAAAATATATACTTGCAAATGAAATTTTTTTTGGGTTTTCCAATGAGAGGTATTTTAAGATAATCAATGAAAAATGGTATTCTTTTAGAAAACTAGACGAAAGTTAATTTGAAGGCTAAATGTAAGATATGCGATTCATAATGGATAACGTAAACGGCCAAATGGTCACCACGGCTACACTGACGGGACCGTAGTTTTTTATGAAATTTTTCGTCACTAAATCGCAAAGTGTTGGCCTGTAAAAGTTTATAAAGTACAACACTCCATGTGTATTCAGTACAATTAAAATTTGTTTGGTCAAATAAATATTTCAAAGGCTCTTAAGTTCCCCACACACTTATGTACCTGCATTTATACCAGCATATAAATATATATATATATATATGTTATATATATATATATATGTTTGTGTGTGTGTATATATATTGTTACTTAGCACCTGGCAATTGTGTGGCACAATGCAGCGAAAGTAGAATTTCTGCAAGTGTCTCAACTACCAAAAGTCGTTGCATAAATTTCCAGAATTTCCAACGCACGAGCCGCACTTAAATTCGCCGTTGCCATAGCCACTACCAACGCTGCTCACACGCACACAATGTGGTACTTAATTCAATGTGCAACATTTTGCAATAATAATGCCACAGAGCTTTGCTGGGCTTAACGACAACCAGAAACTTTCGCCAGCACACAATTTAACTTCACCTTATCAATTAAGGTTAAGTATACGCAGTGTACAGTGTTCATCTTATGCTGCCTTTAAACACAACCATTTGTGTGTATATATATATATATCCATATACAGAGTGCTCCATCTTTTATGTCGATATGTAAACATTGAATGATTTGGAGAAAAAAACCACAAATTTATATATGGATTTTTATTCAGTTTGGTTCCTTCCTTATTTATTTTGGACTAGTTTTTGAAAACAATATCAGTCAAGTGGCTACCTTTATTATCAATTACAAAATGACTCCCGTTTTCTGTGTTTTCCATTACTTTTCCGAGCATCTTGGGTGTTATAGCGTCGATTTCAGCACAAATGTTTGCCTTGAGCTCATCAATAGCTCGAGGCTGGTTGGCGTAAACCTTGTTTTTCAGATAACCTCACAAAAAGAACTCCGAGTGGGTTAAATAAGGTGATCTGTCAGATAGTGCCTATTAGCCGCGATACTTTTTCCGACATGCACGTTTAGTTAACACAACGAAACGATCGATGTAAAGTGTCGCTATTCCAGCGCGTTGTATCGGTGCGAAGTGATTCATGGCAAAAATTGTACTGAATTGACGTTTCCAAAACATATCTGGTGCAATCGTTCGGACATAAAATTTGGAGCACCCTGTACATGTTTACGTCTGTGTTTGTGTATGTATGCATGTTCGTGGAAATTTTAAATAAGGAGTGCAGTAGAAGTTTAATAAACACTTGATGGTGCTCCTAATGAGAACATCTCCCCTCTTTCCTCAACCAGTCCGGTACGACACCCACGCATATTCCTACCTACATAAGCAGATTCACTCAAATATTTTTTTATTTTTATTATTTGCCAACTTCAAAGTCTTTAAGCAGCTTAAGCTGTCGCAGAGCTTAAAGTTGACTGGATTTCGTTTACTCGGTCTAGCTTGGACTAACAATGTCTTGTTCTTCTTTTTATTCTTTTGTTATGTTCCCAACTCCTCTTCTCTCCACTACATCTCATTCTCGTTTCTTTAGGTCTTCTGCATTTTCTTATACTTGTTGCTATTGTATCACTTACCTCAGCTGGTTAGTGAAAGGACAACGCTGGCACACACACACTGGCCTCCGAGCGTAAGTTTTCAACTTTTATATGCATAAATTTATGCTCTCTGCTAAAATTATGACATTTACGAATTTGAAAATTTACTCTAGATCTCGGATTGGACACTTCAACTACACAGTTGAAGAAGATGTAGCTGCAGCAGAAGCCAGAGTAGCAGAAAAAGTTTTTGTTTTGATAAAGTTCTTTTCCAACATTTGTTTGATGTGCGTGTCAATGTGTCCATTTATGCCTGTATATCTATGCCTATGTTTATGTGTGTGTGTGTACGTGAGTTGGAGCAAAGCTTTATATGGACTTACGCGTATGTTAGCCTTTTATTGCTTTTGTTTGACTGCAAAAGTTTAACCAAACTTCTGCTTATTTTACTTGTCTTATGAAATAAAATAGACAGACGACTACGATATTTTAATTTTCATGCATTTTGGTTGAAATTTAAAGCTTACAATTTTATGAGGTATAATCAAATAAACTGCAAACGTCAGTATTCATATGTGTTAGTTGAATCCCTAAAGAACTTCACACCGCTTTTTTACTATTATTTTAACTGATTTAAGAATTTCTGGAATTTCTAGATCTAAAGAACCATCATTTTACTGAATGTCGTACATACACACACATATTTGTATGCGCAATAGCTTTTAATTAAATTTAATGAAATTTTTCAACTCACATCTGCCTGTTAATTTCGGTCCTCTCTGAAAGAAGTTTCTCAAAAGTTGATAAAGAAGACACTTTGAACGTTATCTCAAGAAAAAGTCTTTATTCATTAACAAAAGGGTATGTACGTTTTTACATATTAAGCATTTATGCGAATAAATATGGTTAATTTCAGTTGTTTTGTTTTTTCAATACCTGTGTTTAAGTCGCATTACACTAATCACCTGAACAGAAAAGCTCGTAGGGAATGATACAGCTGTACTTATAGTAGACAGCTTAAAACATAGCTTTCTTCAACTATTAACGAACATAAAATTATTGTAGTCAACTTCCATAACACATAAAAGCAGCTACATATTGACTGAGGGTATAGCTTAATACAGCCAAAACTTCAGCAGTTGCGTGATGCGATAACGAGTACCGAAAATAGCTTTGATTTTATCTTCACAAGATAACCAGCGTACTGGCCTACAGACTCAGACTTTGAAGTCACAACCCGCCGACAAGAATGCAATATTTGCCGGAAGCAGTGAAAATCAGTCAGTATTCTGTTCATTTAACGACATATAGAAAAAATACGTATGCAATCACACACAAACCCATCGAAAAATGAAGAATAAACGGCTTAACTACACCTTAACAATTAAGGTTAAGTATACGCAGTGTACATCTTATATTTTCTTTAAACACAAACATTTGTGATATTGTTAACGAGGTACTTGTATATAACAATACGCTAGCAACGGGTTGCCGTATAGCTATACAAACTAGCACACAATACACATAAAGGCCGGAAATATTATAAGTTATAAAATGTCTAGCCTACCAATCGGCCACTGCCAAAACCCGACTAAAGATAGTAGATTATAAGCTAAAAGTGACACTCAGATACAAAGAAGGAAAAATTATGAAAAATAATCGTCTTTGTCTTCTACTAATAAATCGCTTTAAAAGGCATGCAAAAATCGTAAGCCGCTAATAAATACTGAAGCAGTGTTGAGGCTACGCAACAGTTTATGGGCCAGAATGGATAAAGTGAGGACGGTTTATTTTGCAGAGCGCCCTTGTGTAGTATTTTAAGCACACATTGCTACAAATAACACACATTTGTTATTGAACCATAGTGTTCTAAGATATCATATTATTTGTGCAGCATCTGTGTTGGAACTGAAAAATAGAACTATCGTCTTAGATCTAAATAAAATCAGATTGGACTCAATCAGACCACGACATAAATGCTAAGATAACCGCCAAGCATTGCTTCGGTTATCCTTTCATAAAATTTTGGTGTCTTATCAATGTTAGGATTTTAACAACTGGAAAAAGTCGCATATAACAGATTATAGCTAAGCCAGTAGTGGGATTCTCGATCCTTAAAACAACTTACCTACAAATTTAACTGCTTTAATATTTGTTGTACTTATAGTAAATACATACGTTATCTTCATGAGCTGTGGTCATCAACTACACGACAAATTGCAAACTAAGCGGATAATAGTTTTTAGGTTTTTAGTTTTATGGAACCATATATTTTTGGGAAATAGTGAAAAATTACAACCACATATTTGGACGGTAGAAATTGAAGCTGCTATTCCGGAAATCACCACGTTTCCTCACAAGACTTCTTTTTCCAGACACCTTTGTTTGAATTTTAATTAGAGCTTGGGATGCCCATTACATTTACTTACATATCCACGATTAGTTATTTCTGCAGCTGTAAACTTTGGTTTTGCGAAAAATTTACCAAAAAAGAAAACTCTGAACTTATTAGCGCTATCAACAAAATATTGGTATTTGATTAAGGTTAAAGTGTAGTAAAGTCGGTCAAGAAAATAAATAAAATACAAACAAAAGAAAAAAAGCTAAAAAACAAGTGGCTTTTGAGTATTTGGCGTTGGTTTTATTTCAAGATGAGGTGGTACTAGACATTGGGCAGTAGCTTGCTTTCTAAAAAGAGTATTCTTTCTGCTTGAAATCACCAGTTAACTGAGCTCTTGGTTCATTATTGTATATGTTGTTCACTACAAATATTCCAACAAGTAATTTAATAATATTATTCCACCATTTTTCATGCAAATGATGTAGCTTTAATAAGTAGGCCCTTGTTGTCAGGGCAGCGCCTCAAACTTAGTGAAGAATGAAAGTTAGTGGCAATATGTCCAATAACACGACACTGCAGCTCTGGTGAAATCCAAAAATGATAAAGATCCACGATTGATATAAGAAAAGACTGCTAAGGAATTGGTTTGAATGCCATGGCTGTATAGCGAATATTAAGTTTTCAATATCGTCCAATTTTCTTTAAGCCCAATATTCTATTGGCATCTCTTACATAGAGTCGCTTTTTATTTATTTTTTTCTCAAACAACTATTGTGCGCGACACGGTGCTCACACTGTCCGTATACAACAACAAAAAACCCAAAATTAAATGCCAGAATTTTACTTTAGAACCCTGAAATAAACGTGAAATCGATTTATTAAGTTATACAGCTATCAACCGTATATCGTGCGATAGTCAAGCATATATATAGGTACATCTATACATACAAGAACACACACACACATACACTATCATCGCCAGTCACACCTACAATTGCTAATAGTAGTGCACTGAGCAGCAACAAGGTTAAGGCGTATACTATAATTATCACACATATCATACACGTTTGAAGAAGCATACATACATACACATTTACATACATTCATGCACACATACATATATGCATATTAACTAAATGTATAATTTTATAAAATAGCCCAAAGCGTATGTATGTAAAGAACTCCAGCTAAAATTACGTATACGCCTCGACAGTCGAACCCTAAAAATACATATATGTGTAGTCGTATATGCGAACATGCTTATGTATGTATGTATGTATATTTGATGAGTGAGAGTGTGAGAATTTCATGCTGTGCACGTGTTTCCACTTTGAATGGAAAATTCAAAGTAAACCGTCAACAGCAGCGAGACGCGGCTAATGAAGCCACAGACACCGCATAAATAAATACAGACAACATATTATATGTTACATATGCATATATATGTGAATAGGGGGCCCTAAATGATTATGTACGTAGTGTCGCGTTAAAAATGCTAGTTGTTCAAAACTAATTGCTATTCCAATTATATTTATTATCTTAAATTTAAATACTTTCTAAAGGAAATAAATGAAATGAATGGAATTGAGAAGACCGTAATTAAATTTAAATAAATTATCAAATTTCTTCATTTGCAATCGGAAAACTATCGCTTTAATTGTTTATGCATACA